AAAAATAAATACCTATATCACTCTCAACAGTGTACTAAATGCATTTTCATATTTTCGATCAGATTGAAGYAAACCCAGATTAGGGGGACCGAGGGCTATGGATCTGGGCTCACAACGGATATCGAACAATAATATGGATCCTTGACAGGTATTGCGTTTCCTTTAATACACGGATAATRCCATAATGGATATATTAATATCATGATKATTATTTGGCATATGGCCCAAAATTATCTTAATTTGGGCTTGAATAGTTGGTGTCTCATATTTTTAATGTATACGGTTTATATAGAATTTTAAGTTAATAGTTATATGGAAACCTGCAATAAATTAACTTATTAAATTATGTTAAAGGAGGGATTCGATACCCCCTCCTACCGTGAACACGCCCTTGACCTATATCATACATATAAGTATTTATTTCTTTAAACATGTAATATTACATGTTAAATAATTATTAAAATATTCCCTTAGTCCGCGGTATTATATGGTATTCGATATGTATTTAATGAAATAATTTTTATTGTACAATTCTGGTTGTTGAAACAAGAATTAGATTAAATTAAATTTTGAATTTACTATTTAATAAATTTGATTATGCTACATGACGCATCACCAATAATAATTTTATTAAATGTATTATTCAGTTATTTATAAATTAACGTAATTTGGATATGATTAAAAGTAACTATTGTTCTTTACTGTTTATGCCAATAAAAATCAATTGAGTTAAAAAAAAAAAAATATATAAATGCAGTTAAGTTAACTTGAAATGTTTAACTCATTTAGTCTTGTATATACCTATTAATAAATAATAGTAATAAAAGCTAAAATTGGAAAATATACATTACCTATATTTATCAAAAACTGCAAAAACGAWATTTTTCTTTTCTTTATAATATATTGTCGTAACTACAACTGAAATCAAAAATAATGAATAGCTAGGTGTCTAATAAATCCAATCGGTCATCTGACCAAGATAAGATGATAAGATAAGATAATATATTTATAACGATTCGGCAAATAACCCAATAATTATATACGCGTGCATAAAAAATTGCGAGATTTTTAAAAATCGAATAATGCAATTATTTGCGTTGTGTTCGAAACATGTGAAAATAAGTTGTTCTTTTTAAACGAGGATAATCCGAAACGTGGACATAATTTACGAACCAACGATTTGGACTCAAGAAAAAAAAAAACATACAAACGCTTAGAAATCTTAGCTTTACAATAATAATAATGATCGTTATTGCCGATTAGGCCAGGCATTTCGCAGTTACGTTAACGCAAAACTATAATGATAATATTGTAATGTTATCGATTGTTTTAAAAAAAAATAAATATTGTCCGAGTTTTATTATTTTATCCAAGTGACCAACGCCCATGCATAATATAGGGTATAGCAGTGGGCGGGTTCAGTGAGTAAAACCATATAACTGACATATCAGCAYAATAATGTTATTTGTTATAATCGATGAGCATTATAGCTGCTGTTCTACATTTAAAATCTATTGATAATACATCAAATGCGGATGTGTTATCTATAACGTTAATAAGTAGGTAGGTACCCTATGGGTAGATATAATAATAAAGCTACATATATATGTCTAGGGTTATCGAAACGATTTTCTGCTGTGCACGCTGCCAGCGTTGTCAGAGATCAAATTTAAAACGCGTGCGACGACTGACACGCCTAAATGTCTAATTAAAAACTCGTTTGACTGATCGCCTTATAACTTTAGACTTTATAACAATATAATATTATTAAATAATGGCAGACTCGAGAAAATATAAAATATCATATATCAATCCATCATACATACTGCACCATAAGCTAATAATTGCAGATTGCTACGTTGTTATTTATTTATTTCAGCATAATTCAATATAAAAATACAATAATAATAAGAAAAGCTGATAATACGTACACCAACTGAGCTAAACTCGTCGTACCTGGTAAGTGGTATGCGAAACGGTGTATGGCCCATACGATACGATTTTCATAYCTACTTACTTACCTAGCTACAATCCGTTAACCGTACAACACCTAATCTGTATATCTATTGGTGCAATTAATTACGTGAATATATTTTGAAAAAAATCAGTCGTGTACTCGTGTGTTTGTTWAAATAGAACTACTACCGTTTACACACTGCGTATCCCGTCTATACCAATTACTGGCAGGGGCATTTTCACGTGGAATTCAGTAGGGGTAGGGGGGGATGAGAGTGTCATATACACTACCCAATTTGGTTTATTTTTACTATTTTATAAAAAATAATAATATGATAGAGCAATTAAAGTTATTTACCAGGTGGTCTGAGATAGTCAAAAATGTATAACCACCAGCACTTTTTCAAAAAAGCTAAGCACGCCACTGGTCACTGGACTTTGCGCACGTTAATAGAACATGACCAGTTAAAATACGGAAAACGCAGTTCTAGACTGAGAACTGATCGTGTTCTCAACGAGCGAGGAGTACCTATATGAAGTATTATGCATATTATATGAGAGTGGCCATAATATAACTTATTGAGCGTTAAAAATTCTTGGATAATGTGGTCCTGGCACGATGTAGGCACTGGTGTAGTGTCCGGTTCACTACACCGGAAAGTCCGGCAATGATTTTGGTACACAGAAATGGTATATTATGCCATATTATGGTACTACAGCCACTTGGGTTTATGGTTATGTTTTTTTAGGTAATACCTACATATCATTCGTCGTCGTATTATAGACATATATTTCCACTCAATAGGGTCTAAAGTTAGAAGTATATTTTTTAAGATTAAAACATAAATTTGAGAATCCGTTAACCTATCACATTAATTTAAAATTATTTTTTATGACTTATGACTGAATTTAATAAAGTTTTTATTCTAAATTGTGTTCGGCAGTATTTTACCACTGCCATAAAAAAAAAATACCTTATTAGAAAAACTTCAATTTTCTTGATTTGACGCCACCGCATGTATTATCAAGATATTATGAGAATTATTTATTAATTATAATTAATTACTTATTAGATGAAATTTAATATGATTATAAAATCTGAAAGTTTAATCACAATCACAAACTAAGGTACTATTCGTTTAATTGCATAATATTGACATCGATATAACAATATATTGCCTTTATATCACATTATAATATTATGAACTATCATCCAGCGATAATCATCAGTGTTAATGTGTTATTGAACATTGGAGTTTTTGCAGTGATACAAAAATAACTAGTTTTTATTTTTAATTATTAATATGTTAATATTAATAATTAATTAAGGAACCCACCTAGAAGGTTAAAGCATAGCTGAAACCGTGACTTAAAATAATTCTAACCCTCTTGCCAGTAAGTGTTGCCGCTGGGTGATTACTTCATCAAGTCAATCATGTCATTAAAYGTAAATCCTCAAACATGCTTATTGTAAAATGTATTTATAGATTGTATGTATTAAAAATAAAAGT